TTTTGTATGGTCCACATAGAAAGTTAACAAAAGTTAATCATCATTATTAGTTCAGAAAACCTCTCTTTATTATTTTCTACCCCTAAAAAAAAAAAGCTAGTCTGTAGCAGTTTTAATTCTGCGAAATTTCCATTCAGCACTCTTCAAATTTAGTGTCAATGTTTTTCATTTTTAACTGGTTTATTTGTTACAGAGCCTAACATTTCAGAAGATTGCCCACAGCATCACAAAAGTTGATTGCCAACCAATGTTTGATGGTGGTGTTTTAGTTTGTGTTCTAGGTCAACTTAAGGTAAGTAGAATTAATTACTAATTTTAATGTCTGAAAGATTTGAAATGTAGTAGCTGTGATTAAATGATAATGTACCGAGTATTGAGCTTACAAAGTATGTATTCAGGTCTCTTGTAACTGTGAGCTGTTGTTATGGTCTTAATCGGGCTTTTTTTAATATCTGTATGTATTTTTGTGTGCATAATTTCAGTGTTTTAGTGATGAGAAAGAGTTTGAAGGTATAAGAACAACAAAAATGAACAAATGTGTGTATCACGTAGTTATTCACGGACTATCTCTAGTGAACCACAAAAGTTTGAAAATCAGTTTTGTTCACAAAGTGACAACGTGTCTTTATATTTTTAAGGCATTAAAAATGTAGGTACTACTTTTACATGCAAAATGTGTCTCACATAAACACTTGTATATTTGTGATAGTTATTTCTCCAGCATAAGTGCTAAAATAATTTTTCGTCCGATTTCTTTTTTTCAGACAGACGAAGATCCTCCTCATACATTCTCCCAAACGTTTGTTCTTAAGCCATACAATGAAGGATTTTACGTTCAACATGACGTTTTTAGGATAGCTGTACATGATGCACTATGAAAGTGGCCATTTCCTAATTTACTCCTTCTATTGTTACTGTTGAAAATAGCTTTTCCAATTTCATTGCTATAAACACAACCCACCCGAAAAGGAGTGATTCTTTTATGGCAATAAAAAAAGAATTTTGTTTCATTTTGATTTTAGCGTTAAACATTCACGGTCGATTAGAAACTTCCTTCAACCCTTTCCTTTTCTCGTACTTTTATGTTAAGAAGTTACAACTTTTGAATTTATAATTTTTTTAATACTACCAAACAAGCTAGATAAGTGTTACAAGAAAACATGCTTCGTAACATATAAATTATACGGCATTAGCATGTTAGTGCGTTCATGATTTGTCTTCATAACATTGTGTTAATTGCTTCACAGTAACTCTTACCTATCTCTGAATTGTGAAAAAGGGATACATTATCACCTTGTACATAAATGTCTAACAATAAAGTTTTCCATACTCTTGAACTGATTTATTTATTTTTTCTTGAAGGAAAGAAATACCAACACTGATCACCAAAATGTTTCATAAGAATTTAGAATCGTTTTAGAGTGGAGCATAGAGACAAACATTTTTTTATTATTAATTTAGAAAAGCTGGAAAGTGTCCATAAATTATCATATTTATTACTAGAGAACTTGGTTTGTCAAATTAAAAATATAAATATGTTTCAGTGATTTAACTTGTCATTGTGTTTTTAACATGAAAAATGAAGTGATGTAAAAACTGACCATGATTTCTACTTTGTTTGGTGTAGTACTGTCCATACAGTTCTGCTGATCTCACCACTTTTATCATTGACCAAGTACTTCTCTCTTCCGATTAACTTCCTAATATCTTTATAGTCACAGTATGTTGAATTATTGACTAATCGACGTTACTTTGATTTCTTGCTCAAACATTTTCTGAAGCGTATCTTGTAATATTCTCACGATTTCCTCCAATTGGACTTTTTCCTTCACAAGTTGGATCACTTCCCACCTGGTTTAGTTATTAATTAAAACAAGTGAGCAAATGTAGATTGTTCGATACGGTTCATTCATTTCATTATCTCTTTCAAGCTAAATCTTTGGGCATTATATTCTGTCATTTTCAAAATTGTAATAACATATTTGACACTTTTTCTGACCACTTCATAATCCAAACTTATCTCACCTGCTTCCATTCTCCACAAGTAATCAGGTGTATTACCGTTTAAACTTAAAATCCTCTTTATATATTTTCTTTTGCATCTGCTACAACATAGTGAAAAAGATGAGGAAGTGTTCACAAGAGGGGAAGAACTGGTTACCATATGATCAAAGAAGATGTACCCATTGTAACCAGCAAGAAAGAACCATTGACCATATATATTTAATGCCCATAAATGAGGAATAATCCAACATGGGAAAAAGGAGCTAATTAGTGGAAACAACTATTAGAGAATAAACCCAATATTATTATACTTGTAAATATATTTTAGCATATACAAAATGGAGTAATGAATAACTTTATTAAAGAGTTTAACACCCCCACCCCTCCTAAGAAATTCCAAATTGTGCAGAATAAATCAATCTATGTTTTAGCATCCTTTGCTAAATACAGAATTGGAAACCCAATAACCGAACCACTTCTTTCTTTATTCGAGGAGTTGTGAAACTCTAAAGAAAGAATACGGATCTTCCTGTTAAAGACCATACACTTTTCTTATGACAAAAGTGTATATCTGGCAGTATGCTGTTTTCTAGCTTAGTGTTGAACATTGTTATCAGAGACATAACTGTTGTTTCATGACGATATGTAACACCTTTAGCTACTCAAACAATAAATAAGTAAAATTACATACCACAATGTTTTGATGATTGATTCCATGTACAAACAACTAAAAGAACTTGAAGTAAGCCATCCCATCCTCGTCCTAACAAATTAAGACAAGTGCTCGAGTATAAATGTCGATATATTTAAATTTTTAATTATTAAAAATTTGTGCAATACACCTGGATGTTGGCTATTATAATTTTAAATTTTCTATACACACTTTGATACTTCAAATTTATTATATGTTTCCATTTCCTCGTGTTGGAGTTGAACCCAAGACCCCCCGCATACCAGGCAAGTGTTCTACCCACTTAGTACTGAGGTGTGTTTCCAGCAAAGAATACACCGTTACAGGTCACTGGTTAGGCTGCATTTGGAATATTGTGTTCACCCTTGGGCTTCTTATCTTAGGAAAGACATTTAATTGTTGGAAAGGGTTACTAGGATGGAGGGGTTTTCATTAAAGGGGAGGTTAAGGTCTATGAAATTGTTTTCTCTTGAAAAAAGAAAAGTTGGGGGAGATCTGGTTGAGGTGTTTAAGACTGTAAAGGGAATTGACAGTGTTCATTATTATCTTTTTTCATACTTAATGGTAAGAATAGTAGGACTGGGGGGGGACACACATAAATTCTGGCAAGGTAGGAGTCATCCATCTTCAGCTAAGACAGTTTTATTTTTCTAACAGGGTGGTTGGCCTCTGGAATGGGTTGCCTTCAGATGTTGTGGAGTCACTAAATTTAAATGAGTTTAAGAGAAAGCTTGGTAACTATATAAATGATAAGGCTGACTTTAAAATGTTTTTTAAAAAATTTATAACAGTAGTTTAGAGGATGTGACAGCCGAGATAGACCAACAGGTCCTTTGTTGTCCCTAAACATTATGTTTTGTTATGTCAGATGAGTGCTCTACCATCCAAGCTAGATGATTAACCCAATAACAACTACTATTGAGTCATTCTTTTAAAATTCAAACTTCCATGAAAGTAACTCAAGTTTAACAGGCATTTCACTTCACAACAGCAAGGGCATCAAAAGTGTGGGCAGTACGTAGTTCTAACAAAGTTGATGTGGTTGGTTTATTTGATGTGGTTGTTTTTTTCTGGGGGGGGGGGGTCCTAAAATGAATAACACATGAAAATTCCTAAGAGTCAAGTAAGTACTTCAAATAATTTCAATCACACTCTCTCATAGTTTCATTTTTACGAAGCAAATCTTTTATCACTTGATATGTTAAATAAAAGATGTGGACATCCATGTAATACTTGTGTACTGGTACCTTATTATTGCCCTGACCTCTACACATAAGTGGCATTGGACTGTATAAACAAGAGGAAATACTTCCTTAAAGTTTCTTGTACTTATATGCAAAATTAAATTAAAAAAAAAATCACAGTAAACAAACCCATACAATCATTTTCAAATGTTATTTCACTACACAAAATATGGGATACAACAGCGCATGCATGCTAGTACACAGTGGTATAAATATACACTCCAATGGTTATTAATTGCAAAACCAACAAAATAAAATTATGTGTGTACAATATTAATTGTAAAGATAACTTTGAGAAAAATGGTTTACAAATGGGAATAATTCGATTGATTAACACGTACACAAAGTGATGCAGAAATCGTGGTTCATCACTTCTTCCAAGCTATGCCTTTACATGTGTTTGAAATGTACACTGTTGATAATGATGATGAAACAACAGGGTCACTTCCACATCTTTCTAAATGGTTACCGGTATTCCAACTAATTTTGTAACCCAAAAAAATGGTTATTTAAACACGACTTAGAAATATTGTGAAGGTGTATAACTTGTGCACATATACATATAAAAACATGTATACACACACACTATTCACCAACCATTACTTAGTCTCAGAGTTTAAAAGATAAAGTGTGCAGGAAAAGGAAATCAAAGAATCTAATGGTAAATATATGTCCCCCTGCATTGGAACAATAACTTGGAGCAGTTTCATTTTTAACATAATTGTTACCTTCACATCCCCATTATTGCTAAAAGGTCGCAGAAATATTTATAATTATATTAAATAAAGGTACTGTCTATCATGCATGTGGCAATGATTTTAAATAATATTTATACAAAATGTATGTACGTATAAATATAAAATTTGAACATTTCTAAACACTTGAATTTAGTGTAAAAACGGATAAAACTTCAAACGTGTTCTTCCTGTAGATACTATATCTTAGTCATGGTAGTACTAATCCCATACTTAATGGAGTTGGAAGACGTTGCTTCCCACTTTTAATAACCTGAACTTAGGTAAAGAATGTAAACAAAAAGAAAATATCATAAGACCAGTACTAGTCATGTACCTAGGGAAGGGAGAAACAAAAAAGGTATGTTTGTAGACCACATAATGTATGGTTACGATATTTAGCCAATAACATTTAAGGGTAGTACTGAAAGAGCTAAAATTCTGTCGGAGTTCCCACGTGGTTGTCCTTTTGGTACTTACGACTAACCCCGTTTAACACTAAAAATATTTATGTTGCAGAGTATGAAAATTAGGTTTTGGTTGTCCATGTAAACATACAACACACGCGTATATATAAACAGGCATTATTAGAAACATTTTAACTTTAAACTTGGCTGATTGAGTTACTCTGATTTAGAGGCTTCTCTATAATGTACCACATTCCAAAGCTTAAGCTACTACTGCACACACGTGTGTAAATAACTATTTAAACTCTTATATAAAAAAATTCTCACCACTAAATGCTGAAAGCTAACATACTAGTCAAGAACACATATTGTAAACTTTTCTATACCGAGCTTTACAAGGTCATCTGTACATCAGCTAGAGGAACAGTCATAAAATGTTCAGGCAACACAAATTGTTGCTGAAAAAAGTTTTGTTCACTGGTTTAATTCCGTTAATACTTTTCACAACACTTTACATACGAAGCTAAATACATGTATATTTTTCACCGAGTAAAAGCTCGTAAAACCACCTATTTGGATTTACACAATTATCAAAATAGTCATTGGGTTATAAATGATAATTTGTTACATTTTCCAAAGTAGTAGTTGTGTTACTACTGACTAATGATAAACTGTTTAAAGTTCATAACATGGGTTGATAGGTAAAAAAACTCAGAAACTTTATTTAGCAATAAAACCATCACCATAAAAGTAACGTACAACAGTGTGGCTATTACCTAAAAGTTCAATTAAATCCTTATGTGGGGAGCATCAGCCAGGATGTCTTTGGAGGGGTAACTCAAACAGCGGATGGTTACTGCAAGGTAAGTGGAAGCTTGGTGGAGAAATCCTTTGTAAACTTTCCCGAACAGCTTAAATATTGAAAAACTCATACATACATATCTTACTAAAGATGATCATACTTCATAATTTTTTGGTAACTGGAAACTGCCTGACAGTGTACGTGGGATGTTTTGTTTGAGAATTTTTGCCCGAGAATGGAGATAAGAATGTCCCTGAAATAGGACACATTTCTACTTCTTTATACACATTTAAAGATACAAGTACTTAATCAATTAAATGAGACAATTATTACCTTCCACAAAGCAGGGTATGCAATTATCATCTAACGAGTTCATTAAAGATTTACTAAAATGAAGGAAAATATTATCTAAAATTGTCCCCTATACAAGTTTTGTTTCCTAAACAGGTATTCTCGACTAGTTAGAAATAAAAAACGCCAAAATAATTATATTGAACATGAACGTTTAAATTTACGAAGTTCAGTACACAGATCTATAGACAATGAAGCTGAGCTGTTATGTCTAACTACTTCTCTAATAAAGCAGTTCCTAATTCTATTGTTGAATGGATTAAGGAATGCTCTATCTTTTCATACCATTCACTATTTCAAACAGTTATTCAACAAGCATTACACACCGAATGAAGTTTCAAGAGGAAGTTGATTACACGTCAACAGAAATGTTCTCACTGTGTTTCAACATACTTAAAGATAATGAAAAGTAATGACGGCAGCTCACGAGTTTTGAAACTTATCCTTGTGGAGAGTTTCATTCGTAAAACCTTTAAAGTTACTTAATGCTTTCTTGGAATTTGTTTATTCTAAGTAACCCATAATAAATACTAAATAAAAGGGGAAGACATCAGAGGTGTAGCTCTGAATAATCATAATTAACTTTTATTTTGTCATTATGCTTTACTCAAAGTTTTACCATCCTGTTTTTTTTTTTAAAGCTGGATAATTCAACAAAAATAGTTTTGTATATGTAATTTTTGTTGTTATTAATGGAAACTTATATTTTCAGAACACTTTAAACCATAATTAACACACTTAAGAGTATATCTTTCAATGTAATATTGTTTGTTTTGAATTTTGTGAAAAGCTACACGACGGCTATCTGCGCTAGCCATCCCTAATTTAGCAGTGTAAGACTAAAGGGAAGGCAGCTAGTCATCACCGCCAACTCTTGGACTACTCTTTTCCGAACGAATAGTGGGATTGACCATAATATTATAATGCCCACACGGCTGAAAGGATGAGCATGTTTAGTGGTACGGGAATTCGAAACCGTGACCCTCAGATTGCGAGTCGAGCGTCCTCACCACCTGGCCATGCCGGGCCTTTCAATGTAATAATGTTAATTATTAACCATAGATTACAAGTCAAGCGTCCTCACCACCTGGCCATGCCGGGCCTTTCAATGTAATAATGTTAATTATTAACCATAGATTACGAGTCGATCGTCCTCACCACCTGGCCATGCCGGGCCTTTCAATGTAATAATGTTAATTACTAACCATTACAATAAACAAAAAATCTACATGTCCATATTTCTCTTATTTTTGTTTAAATGAGTTTCCTGGAAAGAACAGATATTAATAAATGAAGTATTTATTTATGCACAACACCGAATTATACCCCCGTGCATCAAAACCAGACACTGATGTGTCAATAGTTAATAGCAGTACATTAAAAAGACACAAAATTGTTTTTTCAATTATGATAAATATATATATATATATATAT